CAGCTCTGAGGATGTCCATCATATGATGGACGAAAGCTCAGCACGTTTTCACCCGAAACGAGGGAGGAAGACTTGTGTACTGCGTCAACATAAATATAATATAAAAGCTGAACGGCTGCAGTACAACGAGTTTCATCCGTCCTCATCTGGTCAGATCGACCAACGAATCTCTTCTTTATGCACTTTCATTCGAAATGAAGGTCATGCTAATACGTATGGTAGGTCAGCCAAGATGTCTACATGCATTTAAACTTTAAAGCTACTTCCAGGCCAACTGATCCTCTCCGGTTGCCAAGGCAATGAAGCACTCACATATAGACGGTGAAATAAATTGAGGATGGAGCTAAGCAACGAAAGCTTTAGTAAACTCTACTCAAAGGAATAGCCATGGCGGTTGAATCGCTCCTTAACTTTGCGTTCGATCGAGCCCTTTGGCTGAAGTCATGTCAACTCGAAGAAGAGTCCCCTACTGGAAGACAGTCCGGAGTGGGTTCCAGCGCCTCCCTCAAGATAGACATCTTCTCAAAAAACTTACTTCTATTTCCGCTGAAGGACCAGAGGCCGAAAAGTTCCGATAGGAGAAGGACATATGGGATGTGTTCACTTTAGTTCGTTTTAAGGTGATGAAGAACTGGCGGCTAGATTTTCCCACAATAAAATGGGTAGAACTTACCTTTTCATTGAATATCACATAGCCTTGCCCTCCAAAAAGGTATTATCATCCCAGGTGGAATGGAATGCAGTTTCGACCTCGCTTTAACTTCCTCGACAGCCCCAGCGGGACTCTAACTAGGACAGTACAGCGTGTAAGCTCGGCACGTCAACCACTACGCCAGACTGCCACAAGTGCCCTTGGGTCAGAGGACAGATGTGAATTTTTTAAAAAGGCTAAACAATTTTCCCGAATCACATTCCTTGGTGGGATTGTCGATGAAGCAAACATAATTTTACCATAACCATCGACTACGTTACTTATTTTTCTTATGTAAGTAGAGTTTCAAGACTAGCAGTAAATCAGTAATATGAGATGTATTCACCCTATTTCCAGTGAATTTCACATAGCAGTGCTTTCTCATCCAGACAGAAGTGGACTGCAGTCGAACCATGACAATGTAGGCTCGACACGTTAATCACTACGTCACATTGCCACGAGTTCCCTGAGGTCACAGAGCAGATGTGAATTTCAAAGAGTGTCATGCAATTTCCATATCGCATTCTGTTTTTTGATTGTCGATGAAGCAAACTTATCTTTGCTATAGCAATCGGCGACATTTTTTTTCGTAAGTGTGTAGGTTTTCGAGACTACCAGTTAATCACATTTATGAGTTGTACTCATTTACGAAAAAAAAGTAATGTCGCCGATTGATATAGCAAATATAAGTTTGTTTCATCAACAATGCAACCGTATAATGTGATTTGGGAAAATGTTTGGCTTTTTTTGAAATTCACATCTCTTCTCTGACACACGGGCACTCGTGGCAGTCTGGCGTGCCGAGCCTACACTCTGCACTGTCAGGGTTTGACTCCCACCTGGGGTGTTGATAAGACTAATCAGTCCATCCAGAATGATAGCCCATTTTGGGAAGGCAAGGCTATGTTAAATTCATTGTGGGAGAAATCAGCTACCAATCCTTTATCATCTTACGCGAAATAGAGTGAACACATCTCATATATCTGATTTATTGGTAGTTTCAAAAACCTATTCACTTGAGAAAAAAGAAGCAAAGTTATATTTGCTATTGTAATTTATAACATTGCCTATTTTTGTTTGTAAGTACATTTTTGAGACTACCAATAAATCAGATATATGAGATGTGTTCACCGCATTTTGCTTAAGGTGATGAAGGAAGAAGACAGCATTTCTGTACACCACATCGGTATGCCAATGATGTTGTATCAAATAACACCTTTCCTCCATCTCCATGAATGCTCTATACTCCTGAACTGCAAAACCTACACAGCAAGCGAGTATGGTCCCGTATGTGGCACGTCTTTCCCATCTGATTTGTCATATCAAAATACAAGGCCAAAAGTTTTGGCCTCGAGATTTGGTCAAGAAGGTTAACAATCTACGCCAACCCACCATTTTGCTCGGCATCTTGGCGCCTCAACTTTACAGTACCTCTCCTTTCCACACAATAACGCTGCACAGCATCTCTACGCCCCAAAGCGCAGACTCTTTGCAGGCGTCGAGAAAAAGGTGCAGATCTCAAAAATATTTCGCAGACCAGGACCCAATACAGCCGTGGCCGAGTAAGAATGGGGAGCCATCAAGGCCTGTGAAAACGACATTGCTTACAAAGCAGCTGTCACGGGCACGAAATTGGCCGAACGCGAGGCGACCGAGTGGGCCGATGACTATGATGCTGTGATGATGAGGCCGGCGAATACATTGTGATGGAACGTGATTTCGAAACGCCGCCGAACACGAGGCAAACTATCATCACAACCTCAGCGAGAATGCGACTGAAGAAGATGCCACAGAATACGACAACGATTCATTCAATCACGCCGAATGCGAGGTCACCAATCACGATATCTACAATTTCCACAACAATTCCGATTGTGACGCAACTGTTGACAACATCGACGTCACCACCAAGGCCAACGACGAAGTAGCTGAAATTGAGTCAGTCTTCGAAATGAGGCCGCTTATTGCAACTTCTAATCTACGATGAGGCTGTTTCCGATGCCATTTACTAAGACTTCAAATGACCAACAGCGCCAACGGCGAGTTCGATTTCGGTAGCGACGTCGAATTCGACTTAACGAATACACCAATCACGACACGGATGATCTCGACTTCGACTTTGATATACCAACGACTCCGTCTGTCACGATCATTACTACCCATTCGGCCTACTAACAACCTGATCCCGAGAGCCTCTGATTTCAATTTCACATCCCCGAAGACTACAACACCATTTGCTTCCT